TGTCGATACGATATATCCTAGTGAGCTTGAGATAGAAGATACCACAGTGTCTGACACATCTGTTTCCTATTTTGATATTTTTCTTGATAAAAAAAAAACGTAAATGTAATCTAACAACCAAGCTCTATGATACACTCGATGACTTTAATTTTTTTATTGTCAACTCCCCAATACTTATGCAGCAATATACCTTCATCACCTACATAAAGTTTATATATCTCAGTTGATTCGATACGCAAGAGCATGCTCTACGTATGAACAATATATAAAACGAGATAAATAATTGACAAACAAGTTGATGTAACAAGAATACCAAAAGCCTTGTTTAACGTCATCATTTCGCACGTTCTATGGTTGAAACAATGACCTCGTCAGCAAATGCAATTTATCATAGAGTCAAGTGCTGACTGACGTTTTTCATACTATTTGTTAGTCCATAGTTTATACATCGAATTCACGACAGATTTTTGCGTTATTCTCTGATCATGACAAGGAGCACACGGCGGGTGTGACCGGTCGTTAGGGGACGCTCACTCCTCCATGGCACCTGATCCCACCTTTAATGTTTTAGAGGTCCGTGTTTGCTCTGCTCTTAATTTGTATTTTTATAGACTTTGATATTGAATACTGTTCGTTATCTCCACATGTAAAGTAAGATGAAGTGCAGTAAAATGCACCCAGGCCATTGAGCCATCAGCCAACAAACCATTTAGCCATGTAGAACTAAGCATGTTTTCGTAAAAATTGTGCATAAATACTGTTTTAGACACATTGCCTTGTGATTTTTGGAAGCCGACAGCCCCCTTGTGGCAAAGTATAAAACAATTGTTTTGACCTTAAAATTCACATTAATAACAAGATGTGTTTGTGAAACACTGATACCCCGTATGGCAACATAGCGAAGATTAAACTTTTCTTAAGGTCAAGATCTACTTAATGAAAGATGCCTACAGATTTATCAAATTTGAGATATAAATTCCCTTAATAATGCTTTACAACTTTAGCTAGGTCAAATAAGGTGTTTCGGGGCAAAATTTGTAGATAAACAACATGAAAAACCATACTTTAGGCAGTTATTTTCAATGAAAAATTAACAAAATCCGTCATAAAAATAGGACTTTTTTCATATCCGGCAAAGGAAATGCATCCAGATTGCCTACAGTCTCTCAGAAAACGGTAGAATGCATGTTTATGGCCTCTTCTTTAAAATAATATCAAATTTAATATAGTTATCGGGGTTGCTTTTCTTCATTTCAAATTGAATGCCATGAAAATACCATATTTTTACATAATTCTACTAAATCTTTAAAGTACAAGAAAAAGAAAGTTGATATTGATTATGACGTCATAATGGCTCTAGCACCAAAAAATTAGTCTAAAGTCATTTACTAGATCTTGACCTTAAATGCAAACTCACTGGAAATACAATTCTGAAATATGAAAGTAGGCCAGGGTTAAAGTTTTTCCATAATTTTGGGATCTCCAAGATCAAGATCAAAAGATCAGAGAGTAATTGGTATGCTATGAAAGGTCTTGCCACAAAAATACATATATGAAGTATGGAAACCCTATCTTTAACCCTTAAAAAGTTATGGCCAAGATTATTTTTTAAAAGAGTAGGTCAAACTTCCTGGTCAACGTCAGAGTGTAAAAGGTCTTGTCACAAGGATTAGATATGTAAAGTATGAAAGCACTAGCCCTAACAATTTAAAAGTTATGGTCAAGGTTTGCTTTTAAAAAGTAGGTCAAAGGTCAAGGGGTCAAAGTTCTTAGTATCCGTTAAAAGACTTTCTCACAAGGATTACATACGTGAAGGATGGAAGCCCTAGCCCTAACCTTTCAAGGTTAATGTTTTTTTCATTTTTCATAAGTATGGATATCTCTATGGTCAAGGTCAAAAGGTCAAGGTTTTTGGTATCCAATGAAAGGTGAAACCTTTAGCCAAAAGGTATTCAAATGTTAAGTAAAAATGTCCTGGTATCTAATGCTGGAAAGACATGGCCAAAATAAAAGTTTGGAATTTTGTGTTACAGTGCGTCAAACTCCAAGGTCAATGTCAACAGGTCAAATTTGGTGGTACCCAAAGAAAGGTCTAGTCACAAGAAATACACATAAGAAATATGAAAGTATTAGCTCCACTTAATTAAAAGTTATGGGCACGGTTAAAGTTTTTTGCGTACAAACAGACAGAGATACAGACAGGTAGTCAGACAGACTAAATACCGGCGATGTAATATCAATTGACAATAGTTACTTTGATGCATATAAAGACTTAATATATCACAGTCCAAGTCTTAAAAAAAGACAATTTAAAGTACGCTTCATCTTTTTTATATCTGAAGGTTTTACTGAATATAGAGAATAAATACATTCTAACGGTCAACAACTAATAAATTAATTGTCTGACAAACGTGATCACTTTAGTTTGTCAACCTTCCTTATTTTGCAATTATTTGAATGAAGCAAGCTTCTGAAAGATGCTGATATAACAGGGATTTCAATAATCTGGGGGAATTTTCTGTTTATCTATTTATTTACCACATTTTGAATAATAATGACTTCTTTGTTATTATTCGTGCAAATTGTTCACAAAAAGAACTTGATTGACATATTGATATTCATTTTAAATCGTTATAAAATAATTTTTTGTTACGAGGGCTGTTCAATAAATAATGTCCTGAACTGTATGATAGACAACACAGCTATCATATGACGTTAAGCTTGACTTTCTTTCATGATGGAATCTTGTTAAGAATCCAAAAGGAAGATTCACTGAATTTGTGAAATTTACAACAACCACTGTTTTATAGATACGAGGGTCATTCCAAAAGTTCGTAGACTTATGTCCTAACCTTTTTATTTAACGTCATATTATATCCAAATTTGGTACAAATATTTTAACAACAGATTCAAGTAATTTGAGTAAAAAATTGAAATGTATCTTCATACAGTGTATTTATTAAAACCACCAAGGATTAAGAACAGCAAAAATGGGGCCACGGAGCACCGTCAAAATTGAGTAATTTTTTTCTAATTTTCACTTTATAGTATTTACAGCTATACCTCTGATAAATGGAGCTGAAACGAAATAAATTTTACATGTTTAAATAAAGTATTGCTGCATTAATTAAAATGAAATCAGGTTATGTAATATCTCGTTCCATTTAACAGCTTCTAAATACATATGGACTTGATTAACAAAGGCAAAAAACCATGACGTTGGAGGACGTCACGGAGCAGCATTCGGGAAACTTTTTCTACAAGCTTTAGAAATCCTTATAAACCAGGATCTGTATGAAAAAAAATCCGTGTATTTGTATTAAATTGAAAATACAATTTTTGAGTGGTAGCGAGTTTGAATCGGACGATGAATTACCTGCTAAGAAACAGGTTAAAGTTTAAAATATTGTCAAAAGAGTTAGGAACGTCATTGAACATGACGTGTGCTTCAATGTTGCAGAAATAATACAGTTGCATGGTAAATCAAAGAATTTGAAAACAATAACATTCTAATTCAAGCTATATTTGTACAATTGTTTGCAAACTAGGTGTTAAGTGTTGTTGATATGTGTTTTGAATGGAGAAGACGTTACAAACCGTGTTTGAAATAACAAAAATGTGTATACCTTTGACAAACTTTCTCAGCGTTGCTTTTGACGTTACAATATTGGTTAACCGTGCTCCGTGGTAACAAAACATGTTGCTTTAAATTTTGGCTAACATGAGTTCTATTTTATCAAATGGAATGAAACTTCACACATCGATAAAATAAATGTTTATGTTTTCGAAAATGTGTTGATCTATAATCTTGTAATAATCATATGACGATGAGAAACATTGTCTACGTATTTTTTGAATGACCCTCGTACACTGTACATGGGCAGATGGATTTCAATTTCAACCAATGTTCTGTTTAATTTCTGGAGGAGTCTAGAAAGCAAAATTTTTACAAAAATCGAAAGGTTTATGAGAGAAAGGAACCAGAATCAGGAATCCACTACATCGAATCTCTTCATAACAGCATCCAAACCCACACTCCTTGAAGAGTAAAGGTGTTTTGGGGATAAACAGAAAGTTAATGTTTTGCACACCAACTATATTCGCCAGTTCTGTCAACCTTTGACTTGATTCATTTTTCAAACTTTTTCAAAAATACCTTTCAGAGAGGAAATCATAGGATCTTCCATATTCCAGTATGCGAAGGGGCATACTGAAAAATGAGTTCTAAAAGCAATCAGAAATTGGTTAAAGTGTTATGGCCATGTGTTTCAATTACAAGAGAATATTTAAGTTAAGGTCATACGCAACACAGTTTGAACTTTATTGTGCTCTTCCTTGGAGTTGAAGATTTCCACTACATGAAAGACCTGTGTGCAATACTTTTTAAGTCTATATATGGAATTGTACACCTCTTTTAAAACATATTTTAATGTTGAAAAATCAGGAACTTTTCTTTTGTATATTTTCGTATATATTTCAGTATAATTTTCTTTGAAAAATGCTACATTTTTCATTATTTGATATCTTCAAAAAAAACCTGGTAATGCATGACGATTTTTTATCTAAGAACATCTAATGACACTATAATCTCAAATTAAGAATATCTTGAAAAATTATCAGTATGTAGGGTACCTTGCATATATTCTTAAATCATTAAAACTAAATCATTGAAAAGGTTTTTTTGTGTCTTTCCGAGCACCGAGGACATTGCTTATTGAACAGTCGTTGCAATTGTTCATTGTACAGCTATTTTTCCAATCTCTCAGACAAAAAGACCTGATTTTGCGAATTGCTAAAAATTAATGAGATTGAATATTTAGACAATTAAAATAAAACTCTATTTTTAATTAATTTCAAATTTTATAATAAAATAATGAACCATAATTTTCTATCGTTATAAACTAGCGACGCAAAGGAAGTAATTCGAATTACACGCCGTGCACGCTAAAGAAAAGTAGTTTTTTTTATTGAAACGGAACAAATTAGATATGCTATGGGTTTTATTTCGAAAATGACTAGACTTGAACTAGTAACATTATACAACATCAAATACATTGAAATGTTTCACGACAGTTTGTTGAGTTTCTTGGATTGTTGCGGTATAAACTAATTCTGTCATACCAAATGTAAATTCTTCTTCCAAAGTTGGTTTAAACCCCAGATAAGGCAATGGAATTTCAACTTTACCTAAATATCTGCAATCTTCTTCGTCGATGTAAAGTACATCGCTCTTTTCCGAGAAATAAATTTCAGAAATGACAGAGGATTGGAACTTATCCAATGGAACACTTTTTAAGGTACATTTCTTTCCACTTGCAAGCACTTTAGTTCCAGAAGAAATAATGGGATCAAATGTTCCACGGCATCGAACTATGCCATACTGATCAATGTATTTCCTCTTTTCATCATGTTTTCCAGTCTCGAATCTGAAATCCGTATTTGTTCCATAAGTGTATCTTAATACACGACAAGAAACGATTGATGGGTTGTGGCCATATAAAACGGCTCCTTTCACTACTGCGAGGCCACATTCATTAGGAATTATTACATTCTTATCTGCGCACATCAATGATATTTTTTCTTGCAGAATACTGCATTCGGAATATCCACCTACTAATATTATACAGGAAATATCGGGATAATCTTTCAACAAGTTTTGAAGGTGATTTGATATTTCATTTATGGAATCCTCGAAAAGCTGTAGCATAAAGTGTCCATTAACTTTTATCCTGTCTCGCATTACTTCAAATTCCCTTTTGACTGATAGGCATTCTCTTCTTTGTAAATCAACTTTGTTCCCTTTTGCAAAATCATTCAGTGATAATGGAATACGAATGTTATACTTCTTTGCTAACTCTTTAGTTACTGTTCTTTTCTTAACCTCAAAATCTCTTAAAAACTCCAGATAATCTTCCATTTCCTCATGTTTCAGTCTCTCAAATGATTTTACTCCGTAAATGGACTGTATTATTTCAACATATTTCTTGTCAACGCATGTACCGCCATAAGCTTCACCGCTTGCTTTGTGAAGTTCGGTGATGGACCCATCAATTTCCAATTCATGGACACTAAAATCTGCTGTTCCCCCTATATTAGAATACACATTAGAATGCAGCCATTTTCAGACTATTTCGATCTCCTTTAAAAGAAGAGCTCCATATATACAAAAATGATTAAATTTTAAAACTAAAATGTATGATTTTTTTCTTTGCCAAATGATTGTTGACAGCTTAAGATACCGTATCTAAATCTGGTGGTTAATTTGTGGTTATTTTGTTGACCCCCTAGATAGAACGTTCTATCGTTAAAATGCCATTGTCCTACGGACCCGGTTTAACGATAGTATTCGTAATGTAGCAAAAGAAACATGGGCGTTAACTCGCACTCAGTATAATCAGTGTTTTTACTACAAACATTCTAAAGAGTTCTGAATGTAAACATGGCAGGTAAATTATCGAAGCGAGAGAAAAATGTTGAGAAAATTTATTGGATTTTCATCTTTAGATGGATTATTTTCTGGGATAAAAGGCATAAGCAATCTCAAAAAGGTTTGTTTTGATTTATTTGGTAGTTATTTCCAGTGCAAATCAATTTATATTCTTCAAAATCGTTTCGGACCGGATCCGCTTCGATTTGCTACATTGCAAGTATATGGGATGTATTTTAGCTGTGGTGAGGGCTTGTACCGAGACACAGTTAGATCATTCTAACTATTGACCCCCCAGCCTTCTTAAATTCCTTTAATTATATATTGCAAGATTAAGTCAAATTTCTAAATTGTTATAAATCACTAATAAATATAGTTGTCGGTTTTGGGGCAAATAGGGGCCTATCAATTCCTCTCTTATCTAAAAGAAAAATATACCAGTTTATTACAGCAAGATTTAGGGAATGATATTACTGTATGAAACTTCAAAACCCTACCTCCTATATCTGCAACGACATATTGCGTTCTTTTTCCATTTGCTGTAAGACATTTTCCACGTGACAATTTATCAGGAGCAATATCTTTACAGTAAACTGACGCACACTCTGGTTCAAGAGCAAGAAGTAAACGTTCAGATGCAATGCCAGCCTGAAACGAGAGGTCCAGGGACCACAATGCTCACCTGAGTAACAATGACCTTTATATTCTTCTTAACATATTTCCCTACTAATTCTTTTGTAAAACTTTAACTACTTTTTATGGCCCAATTCTATCCCAGCGGACATTATTTGAACAAAATAAAAAATCTACACCTTAAATGTTTCTTTATTAATATTACTAAGCATGGATATACTAAAAAATTAATTTCTGTTCTTGTTTATTTATTTGCAAAATCTTTTTTTAACATATTCCTATGTTAACTTTGATTCCCCATTTCTGCCCACCCAGTACGACAAACAGACAAACTTTGGTCAAAAAGGATGTTTTTGGCTAATTTTAATCAAGAAATTAAATAAAATGATTTTTTAACATACCATAAAAATTGAAAAAGAAGCAAAAGGGAATAGAAATACATGTAAACCTTATTTGAAAAATAGTTATATGAATAATCCAACCCAACTACCACCTCTTTTGCTGCTTCTCTCATAAAAAGTTTGGCTGCATCCGTCCAAATGGCGGGAACAGTTAGGACAAATTTTACATCCTTTTCCGAAGCGTCAGGCAAGCTCATTTTTAGAGTGGTCATAAAGTGTTCCTTTAAGTACTTAATCGACAGAGCAAAAACCTTAACTGCACTAATCTGTTTTCCGCTGATGTCGCTTAACATTGTTTTTCTGTTCAAATTCTGAATCAAATAGAAAACTTCTTCAATTTCGATCTATAATAGCATATACAATGTTTATGCATCAACACATATCCAGGATCATTAAAAAGGTGAGAGGATGTATTTTTTCTATTATTGTGTTTTTGCTTTAATTTGGAATAAAAAAACAAAGAATTTACATCATCTTATGTCTGAGAAGGTATTTTCCTTTAAACATTTTTGACACAAATAGCAGTTGCGCAATTACCGATCGGCAAAAAGATAGCTTGACTTATAAATTTACATACCTTGGAATGATAAAGTTCCATTTTAAAATCAAAGAAATAAAAATAACCCAGATGTTCTCCATTTGATGCCAATGTTGTATAAGCATCTTGCGCCTCATATCCAAAGGAATTGAATGTTTCGTCCGGATTCAATAAAATACATGTTGGAGTTTTCTGTGATAGAAGATTTGACGTTCCAGAACACCAATTTTGGGAAGTGTGAAAATCCTTCGCCGTATCACGAAAAGAAAAGGCATATCCACTATACGTAGTACCAAAGTCTATTGCTGCTACGACCAGCCAATTGGAAGGTGAAATTTCAGACATAATCTACGAGGTATACAATAAATTACTTCCTTTATTCACTACTTTCATTTTGTAATGGTGTAAATGGGACATGGCAGACAAACATCCATCCTTCAAATGCACTTGATAACAATCAGTTCGTATCGCTTAAATGCCTTTTCTGTTTTTTGCCATGTACCCGTTATATTTTTCCATATATGGAACTACAGTATAAAAGAAAGCTGACTTAATATCTTTAAATATTTTTTTTATTTAAATGACAGAAAAAAAAACATTATGATACCTTTAAATTTTTAAAGATATCAAAACACGTGTTAAAGGCGTTTAAGTTTGTTGATCGTTTTCTGTGTAATCATATGTGAAGATAAGTGCAGTAATCAAGCTTAAAGTTCAATGAAACAATACAAACAGGAGCGAAATAAATACGGACCCCTTATATCAGAAGAAGGTTCAGGTGCCATGGAAGAATAAGCATCCCCTTTTGACTGGTCACATCCACAGTGTTCGTCTGCTTTTTGTCATGATAGGGCAAACGAAAAACATGCATAGACACTTCAATGTGTACGAAATTATCTGAAGTTTGTTATTATTGGTACTACGATATATAAAGATAACAGTATATATGTACAACCTCAAAAGTGCACTAAAGAATACAGATTTAGAGCAGAGAAAACAAGGACCTCCAAAACGTCAGAAGTGTAATCAGGTGCCTTGGAGGAGTTTGCATCCCCTGTCGAATTGTTACACTCGTCGAGTGCTCCCTGTCATGATAGGGAAAATACGGAATACGGAAATTTCTGTCGTCGATTCAGTGTATATAAAAGTACAATAAAAAAAATAAACGTCAGCAACTTACTCAATGACACAATCTATACGCTGACAAGGTCATTGTATTGACCATAGATTATACGAAATGTTGACTTGAAAGAAGACTGCATGCTGATATTCTTGTTTCATCAATTTGCCTGTCAAAAACCTACCTCGTTTTAGAAATTGTCCATAGGAGCATGCTCTTGCGTATCGAATCAAATGAGAGATATAAACTCCGTATGCAGGTGATAAAGGTATATTGCTGCAAGAGAAGTTTTTCATAAAGCTTGGTTGTTATATTACCAATAACGTATTTTTTAAGTAAAATATCCAAATATGAAACAGATTTATCGGACTTTGTGAAGGCCACACCCAGTGTTTTCTTTTTTTCACATATAAGATTTCGACAAATTCTGCTTCATATGAATACAAAAAATTCTGCTGATAATGGGCGCAATTGATACCCATGGGATTTCCAATACATTGTTGGAAGACATGGTCTCCAAAATAGACATAGATATTGTCAATCAGAAACTCAACCATCTTTAAAATGTCAACATCAGGGTAACTTGTGTGTACAATCAGATTTTTTAAAAGAAAACAATTTTGCAAATGTTTGATGAATAGGTAAGTTAATTTACAAATTACGTTTTTATTGAAAATGTAGCTGTCAATGATATCAAAAAGCTGGTCTTCAATTAATTGTAGGAAATTGATGTATATATAAAAAGTTGAAAAGTCATAGGTTTCTATGTTGTCGATTTTGTAAAAATTTTATTATTTCAATTTTTCAAACGTTCTTTGGAATTTTACGTATCCACGTCTGATATTCACCACTTCTCCATACAGGGTTGTACATGCAGTACTCCTGAATCTTCTAATTTATTACCGTTAATATTTAGGTGAGGTGTATAGAAAGAGCCTTGGTAGAACACTTACTGGAACCCGCTATGTATTTGATTGTAAGGATCTTTATGAAGTTTTTGCAATAACATAATAGGACAACCCCTTTGTCAAAGACTTAATTTTCAGAGGTAACTCGTCATACTGCACTAAACAAAGAGTGTAACTCAGAGATTAGATGTTACTAATACTGGATGTGCAATTGCATCTTAGGATGAAAAAGGTTTTAAACAAGAGAGATTCAAATCGATTTAATCGCCTCCATGCCGTAGTGGTAAGGGCATCTGCTCTAGCGTCATGGAGTAAGAAATTGATCCTTACGTCGCTGGTTCGACTTCTTTAAAATGACATGGAAACCAGTCCTTAATTTCTGATGATTGACGATATCCATTTCCTAACATCTGTCGGAATTCCGATGAGTACTAATTACACTGCATCAGCAGACTTTTTTTGTACTCATATGTAGCATAATTTGTCCAAACATTTTTGCAAACGAACACTTGTTATGACCTTTAACTCTGACATTTCGACAACGTTTTATTCATCAATTACATGTAGTTACTTCCATTCATATGTCAATTAAGTTGCTTGATAAAAAAAGAACCACAAAATCTGACACATCTCTTTCATATTTGGATGTTTACTAAAGACGATTACAGCAAACTTGAAACTAAATTGTATGAAAAAATGGGATGATTTCAACTATTCTATTGTCCGCTTAACTTATCTCTGTGGAAATATTTCATATATCATCTGCATATGCTGTTTCTAGTATATTTCCTAACTTGTTGGTACTCAAAAACATTCTCTAAGTACGATTTATTTTTAAAACGAGGCAGAAAACTGACACTTTTTTTCAGTCAGCATCTCGTATATAAATGGTCGGTATGACGACTATGCTTAAAACAAAAACCTATCATTGGGTCATATTTTGTCTGTCACAAGTTGTTAACCCTTTGTTTGATATTCATATTTCGTTTTAACCTGATCAGTCTTTATCATTATGGCTTACAGCGGGTGTTTCTTTTACAAGGAATTTTTGAAAGTCCATGTCTCATGCCTATTTCAACCCCTTTGTAATGTTTGTAGATTTTTGAAATTCATCTCTATTAGTTATCTCCACCTATTTTCATTCAGATTCAAATCTGCATTTCCATGTGAACAAATATAAGTTGAATGCACTTTTTCCAGAAAAATCATTACAGAAGCAGACGTTAAATATACAGAATGAGGCGTAACTATAGAATGTCAATTCAAGTTTACATTTCAAAAAAAGAAATCTTACTACATAGAAAAAATGCATTTTCCATAGTAATTTTTTGTTTTTAAGATTTCGTGTACTACGTATCTTGGCGTTTTGTAATTCTGTTTCTTATATTTCTTTCTCTTTTATGGACTTCTGATCTTGAATACTGTTCGTTATCTCCATATTTTAATATTTAAACTTAAGACTAGTACATATCAAGATTTATCCATCGTAAAATCCTCTTGGTCTTCACCTTCAAAGATGCCTTTGTTTTGTTTTTTATAACTTAAATATAAATTTATGACATGGGCAAATATTTATTTTTCATTGGATTGATTAATTGATTGATTGTGTGTTGTTAAAGGTCTCTCTCGAGAATTGTTCACTTGCCGGTGGAGAGCTGCAAATTTTGTCTTATACGTGGCACTCTGGACCATTGAGCAGTGAGTGATCTTATTCGTGTTAGAACCTAGTGCGATTCGGGACCTGGGTTTATACGAGCTCATTCGAATAACCGATCTCCAACCGGTCTCTAATTCCCCCAGTGGGATTCGAATCCGGATTCGAAGGATCTTTTTCAATAGAAATTCGTTAAATCACAATGAAAATGAACTTAAGTGCAATATAGACGTTCATTTCACATAGATGCACTTCCAGTGCAAACATATGAGTTTATACATGTGAGTCCTTCAGTGGTTTATAGTATATTCTTTTTTATGTCAAATATAAAGTTATAAAATCTCTTCTTTAAGTTTAAAAAACAATTTCATCAGCAAGAAATTGAACGTGGTATCTTGGCAAAACAATTTTGCGACAAATTAAATAATTCTTTTGTAATATTATGTACATAGAGTATATGTTTGATAAATACATCTAAAAAAAATTTAAAAGTTGTACACTAAAATCATTTTGATGGTTGTTATTTCAGGAAATGGGACTTCGCCACACAGCAGCACTCAGTTTGGATGAGTCTTTTTATGTATATTTGTATTATTCGTAGTGTCGCAATGTTTAGGTTTTGGCTTGGTGGTATGGACCTCTGGAGTTCCTTCCTCTAATATAAACATAGCAGGCAATGACAACGATGAGAAATGCAATGATACAACCGACGACGATCCCAGCAAACATTCCGACGTCTGTAACAGCTGAAAAAGTATAATTAATTATGTAAATGTCAATGTTACACAGCTTATCATTTTATCTAAGATTGCTGTTAATTTCACATGTGATGTCATAGTTAATATTTGTCAATTAGGCATTACATCCCCTTTGCACCTTAACTGTGCTGCGTAACTCCTTTATTGAAAGGAAAAAGAGTAATTGAGGATTTCTGTTGCATGAGAATATTGTGCTTGACAGTGTTCTTGTTTCATTCCTTTTAATTTACTGAAGAGTTTGGTTAAAACTAAAGCAAACGTATCTAAAAAATTACCAAGGTATTTGTATATGTCTTTATTGGTATATATTTACATCCGCTGAATATTTTCTCCTTTATTTCTTTAGAAAACCCATTGCGTTAATCACTGCATGAACTACAGTCGGCATGTCGCCTGTACAGTTTTCTTGATCAGTGGCTGTTCCATCAATGAAACGTATAAAGACGTGCACATCATTAATACAATAATTAATCTTTTTAATCCTACTTTAAATGATTATTTAAACAGATATAAATATAAACAATAAAATGTCTTTCTTTGTTTGTTATTACTGGAATTAACGGTCGCAGCTATTGCAGAAAAAATTACATAACCCGCTTACGCGGGTTATGTATTTTTTCTGCAACAGCTGCTTCCATTGATTCCAGTAATAACAAACAAAGAAAGACATTTTATTGTTTAAAAATAATACAAAAAAGATTGCTACATATTTATAGGTTTCCATCCATATTCTGTATATAAACACATGAAAAAGGAGGTTATCGAATATTGATGATAAACGGGGACAATTCTAAGTGTGTATATATATATATATATATATATATATATATATATATATATATATATATATATATATATATATATATATATATATATATATATATATATATCCAAAGTCTCTTTGTCAATACAATAAAAAACTTTAAAACACTTCTCGATTTTTAAAGTTTTTTATATATATATAAGTTTTTTCATATAAGTTATATATATATAAGTTATATATATATATATATATATATATATATATATATATATATATATATATATATATATATATATATATATATATATATATATATATATATAAAATAAAAAAATCACAACACCGAAATAAACTCAACCGGTTTCATTTCCAATCTTCAGGAGTTTCTCCTGAAGATTTGAAACTCAACCGGTTGAGTTTATTTCGGTGTTGTGATTTTTTTATTATAACAATACGTGTGTGGATTTATATTATATATATATATATATATATATATATATATATAAATCAAAATTAAATCCAAGATAAACAAACAAGTTTACGTTTAATTTTTTACACTAAGCGCTTTCGCCGTTACGGCTCTTCAGAGTGTAACAATGATAATAAAAACAATACAACTTCGTTGTTATGACGTCGTTATTATGACGTCACAAAGGCAGCGTTATACATTGGCACAGGTAAATGTCAAAAAAGCGCCAAATGTATAGAGTTAAACACATGTACATTGTAATAAAATGGAACATTTCTTTAGAGCTACAATGTTCAATTTACATTTAATTTAGGCTGAAATAATTTAACAAAATAATCTTCCTTGGCCCTCCGTAATTGTTCATTATCTTCTGTGATTTTATAAAACGGAAATATCAAAAAGTTTCCATTCGCACATGAATCAAAATGTTCACTGCAAGGTGTATTCCTGACGGAGGGGTCTCGTATTTGTTGTTTATGGACTCTTACACGGTCAGCTAGTTTGTTACCGGTCTGTCCAATATAGTCTTCCCCGCATGAAGTACAAGTCATACAGTATATTAAATTTCTAGTTTTGCATGACATATTCGCATTGACGGTAAACGTTTTACCACATTTAAATGTAAAATTTTCTCCGGTTTTTAAATAAGGGCAGGTTCCACACAGGGGATCCATACATTTGGCTACAGTGCGTTTTTCCTCATCCGATGAGAATCTGGCTCTTGTTAGGAGTTTCTTTAGGTTTGGAGGTTGGCGTCGGCTATAGATGATGCTCTTCGGGTCAATTAATTCCTTTAAATTTTGGGATTGCTGTAAAATAGGAAAACACTGTTTTACGGAGTTATATATATTAAGGTTCCGTGGGTTATGGGTAACGACCAGCGGGATTTCCTTATTGTTTTCCTGGCGTCCTCGTCTAGTAGAACGGAGATCTGCAGTCGGTATTGACTTGGCCTTTTCAATTGCTATATCTATTAAGTCGTTAGGATATTTTTGTCTGAGCAAAAATGTTTTTAATTCTTGTAGACGGCCATTTCTTCTGGTTTCATCTATGACAATGGTACAAACACGTCTTGCCATATTAAAAGGTATGTTACGTTTAACGTGTGACGGGTGGCAAGAATTAAATACGAGATATTGGTGGGAATCCGTTTTCTTGTAGTATAAATCTGTTATGATTTTGCGACCCTCCTTAATTATAAGAATATCCAAAAAGGGTAGTTCTAACCTGCTCTTTTCCAAGGTAAATTTAATAGAAGGATGCAGATTGTTAAGAATGGTATGGTATTCTTGTAAATCCTCAGTAGATCTCGTCCAAAAAATGAAACAATCATCTAAGTATCGTTTCCAATTAAATCGTATGTATTGCGCAAAAGGATTTCCAAATCGTCTCTCTGTTTCGTTGAACAGTTTTTCTTCTAAAAAACCGAGAACTAGGGTTGCATAGGTTGGGGCAACTTTAGTGCCCATCGCTGTTCCCTTAATTTGTAGAAAATTTCTCCCGTCAAAAACAAAATGATTATTCTCTAATACTATTTTTATTCCTTCTAGAATAAAGTCTTTAGAAAATCTTTCGTGAATTTGATTGTGGTATTTGTCAATCCAAAAAGCGATTGCTTCTAGTCCAAGTGTATGCGGTATGTTGGTATAGAGGCTCGTTACATCAAAACTAACCATCTCAGTATTTAGTTCAACTGTATCTGGAATGTGGCCGAGAAAATCCAAATCATCCCTTACATAACTTGGTACAAGTTGGCATAGAGGCTTTAGAAGTATATCCAACAAGTTGCTGAGTCTGTGCGTGGGGCATGCAGGGCCTGCCACAATTGGTCTAAGTTTTAAATCCGTTGGTCGAGGTAATTTTATATATAATGAGTTTTTACCTTCAAGTCCGTTCTGTATTTCTTTGGATTTGTGGATCTTTGGTAAACCATAAAAGTTACTAGATTTAATTTCAAAATTGGTTAAATAATCCACTTCCTTTTTGGTTAAATTATCCGCAAAATTATTTGTAAATTTCCTAATCCTGCGCATGGTTTTACTGTCTTCATTAGAGACTAATTCTTTGTAAAAATTGTTGTCATTAAGTTGGTCCAAAACCATTTCTTTGTAATGATCCGTATCCATAATGACAATTGCTCCCCCTTTATCTGCTTCCTTTATAATAATAGAATTATCACTTGCAAGGCTTTTGATAGCTTCTCGTTCCCGTCTAGTGATATTATCCTTAATATGGGTATTCATGGAGATGTCATTACTTCTGGCGGAACTTTGTAAACATCTGATAAATTCATCTAAATGTTTATCCCTATTAGGTGGTGGTTTGAAATTACTTTTATTTCTCACAAGTGATTCGTCCGTATTTTCTTCATTTTGAAAATATTCTCTAAGTCTAAGTTTCCGACAAAACTCCTCGGTATCTTTTATGAGATCCACATTATCCTGTTTTGGTGTGGGTGTAAATTTCAAACCCCTATCTAGAATTTTCATTTCATCTTCTGTAATATCTCTCCGAGATAAATTAACAATTTTCACATCGATTTTCTGATTTTGACTTACTTCTGAGTTGTCTAAATTTGCAGAAATCGGAATGGTTTTTGGCGGCCCTTGTGGAAGTGTCCTTTCCACAAAAAATTATTTTCCGAATTATTCCTTGTTTGGTTTTCTTGTTTACTGTTAGAATTGTGTAAACTGTTCTGTTCTTTCAGCCATCCTTGGTTTCTTTTAGGGGGTTTATTCCAATTTCGATCCCCTATTCCGACATTGTTTTGTTGTGTCATTCTTTGGTTATTCTTATTTCTCGCCATATTTGCTGAGTTTTTCTTGCTCATTTGGTTATTCTTATTGTGAAGATTAACTGGTCTGTTCTTATATGAAAAGTTGTTCTTTTGAGCACGAAAATTGAATCCTTGTGGTTCATTATTGCGTACAGCATCAGCGTAAGAAGATTGGTTTTCCTTCCTATATCCGGAATTTTTATTTCCATTAGTTTTGTTCCTATGATTTTTTTGTTTTTTGGGGGAATTTTTCATCACTTCTTTCCCGTAATTTTTCTCATAATTATTGAGCCACTCCTGCTTTCTCTCAAGAATCATTGCAGATTTATCCATTTCATATTTCACTTCTGTTTTCCATAGATCAAGAAGTTTGGCTTTCATATCTGCGTTGGTTTTCTCTGAAATTTCTTTTTCCATTCTTGAATCACATTCCTCAAACTTGGTTTGATACTTCGGGACGCGAATTCGTAGGAGAGTTATTTCAGCGTCAAATTTCTGGATGGCTAAATTTAACCTAATTTTTATTTCTTCGTCAGGTTCCTGATTGATTGATTTAATCCTGAATTTCCGTGGAAGAATAACATCTTCTTGTTTTCTCCATTTCTCGTATGTATCAGCGAGATTTTCACATCTAATGGTGTTCCAATATGCCTGTCTTCTTTCATTAAGATTCTTTCTCCATGTTTGAATCATTTGTCGTTTTTCTCGATACATTGTAGAAATGATATTGTTGTCATATCTACTTTGTAGAATGAAATCCACATTAGATTTGTAATTTATGTTTTCCTTTTTCTTTGATAAATCCAGTTTACACAATTCTAACAGTAAACAAGAAAACCAAACAAGGAATAATTCGGAAAATAATTTTTTGTGGAAAGGACTCTTCCACAAGGGCCGCCAAAAACCATTCCGATTTCTGCAAATTTAGACAACTCAGAAGTAAGTCAAAATCAGAAAATCGATGTGAAAATTGTTAATTTATCTCGGAGAGATATTACAGAAGATGAAATGAAAATTCTAGATAGGGGTTTGAAATTTACACCCACACCAAAACAGGATAATGTGGATCTCATAAAAGATACCGAGGAGTTTTGT